TGAAGATGAGAAATAAAGAACCAGGTGATGTTGGTGCACAATAAACTAAAGATGAGAAATAAAGAACCAGGTGATGTTGGGACACAATAACCTGAAGATGAGAAATAAAGAACCAGGTGATGGTGCACAATAAACTAAAGATGAGAAATAAAGAACTAGGTGATGTTGGTACACAATAAACTGAAGATGAGAACTAAAGAACCAGACTGTGTTGGGACACAATAACATGAAGATTCGAACTAAAGAACCAGGTGATGGTGCACAATAAAATGAAGATGAGAAATAAAGCACCTTGATTGTTTTAACAGCAGTTAATAAACAGGCTGATGTAGTTCTACAGTTCGTGCTCCTCATTGGCACAGCGGTGTGTCTGCTGGCTTACAACACTAGAATCCGGGTTTCGATACCCGTGGTGGGCAGAGCACAGATAGCCCATTGTGTAGCTTTGTGCTTAATTACAAACAAACAAACAAAATCTACAGTTCGTTTGAAATGTTTCCTGAATGGTTAACAATCTTTATCATCATTAGTAAATAATGGTTGTTTTTCACAGTTCATTTAAAATACTTTTGTTCTGGTTATCAATTTCAGACGAAGCTTAATAAGTGGCTAGATTTATAAAACGGTCATAATATGTTGTTTTTTAACCTTTATTTTGGAGGGTTAGAGTGCGAAAAGAGACATAATATAGAAAAAACAAACATCTAAAAACTGCAATCAACTGGCATCAGGACAAAAAGTGAAGCTTTGTTCGATTTTACTTGAGATAGCATATTTTGTAAGAGAACATCATCTGCCCTAGGATATGCATCTTATGATGAGCGTGAAGTAAGAGATGTTATCGTAAAAGTATACTGTTATCTAGAAAAGTAGGACGACTCTGATGATGTAGGTTACCCTTCTTTTTCTACACAACCTCTGATAATGTCTCTAATAAATACAGATCAACTGAGTATTTGATAGATTGTAACGAATACTGTTTCCAGTTCCTGCTGCTAATAATGTACTTAATTACAGTTTCTTTAGCCTGTCTTTGTCACTTTTCTGTAGCTAAAGGATTAACTAAGGAGAAAGATAACGTGCTATCAACAACACCTGGACAGACTGACGCAGAAAGACGCACCACAACTAACAGCTTTGTCAAGAGTGAGGAACCAGAAAAAGGTATATTGTCATAACTAAAATTAAATAATAGGTTAAACAATCGCTAAGTTTTATATATGTTTATAAGGACGACGTTTCGACCTATCGCATTCCTTCGTCAGATCATATAGTTTACAACTAGCTCGAAACGTCGTCCTTATAAAATATATATAAAATCTTGACGATTGTTCTACCTATTATTTAATTTTGATATTTTCGTCGCCCATGCGGTTTTAACAATATTTGTCTTTTTATATTGTCACAACTAACCTACACATTAATCAAAGTAATATCTGTAGATCGTGTGGAGCGAAGGATATATAACCTATACATTTCTTATATTAATATAAACATGTAGATCGTGTGGAGCGAAGGATATATAACCTATAGATTTCTTATATTAATATAAACATGTAGATCGTGTGGAGCGAAGGAAATATAACCTATAGATTTCTTATATTAATATAAACATGTAGATCGTGTGGAGC